TCTCCTCTCCTGGGATTTCGATTAAGAGGAATAATTGAATCGATGAATTTCAATTGGGGGAAAGTGAAGTTGGTTTTCGGATATAGATGCTAATCTGTGTTACTCAATTTTGAGTTATAGGGCACTCGGAACTCAATTATATTGGTTGAAAATAGGCATTAATAATGAAGTATTAATTAATGAAGCATATATATATATATATTTATANATTATAAGAATATTTTAATCTTATAACTATTATAAAAAAAATATGTTAAACAGCTGTATAACTACTTAAGGTGTTAGGGATGAAGGAAGAATTAGAATATTTAAATGTTATGCATGTTAACATTAAGGTTTATATGTTGTGCAAGATAATTTTGAAAGACGGCTAAGTAATTATGTATTTCTAATTCATAAGATATACCGAGAAACATTTTTTTTTAAAATTTCCCCTTCAGTCATATTTTCGCATGATTTAACAAGCAATTAGCAAAGGAGCTCAAACCCATGAACCGTGATCCACTGAGGATATTTTACGCCAGCACTGGGATCGGTAAGAGCCGAGTGCGGAATTCGTATCAACCAGCCATGGCTGGGATTCGAACCCACGTCACCACAGTGGGGACCAAGCGCTCAGTCCTCTAAGCCACCACGGCTCTGTTAAAAACAATTGAATTAATTATGAATTTTTCTAATCATTCACTTTTTGGAATCTATCAGAAAAGGAACGCTCTTGCTTATGGCCCTTCAATAGGCTCCAAATCGTATACGATATTCTGGTCTCATGGAATTCTTGTTGATCATTTAATATATTGACCATATCCTAAAGCTCATAAATTACCACAGACAAAGTCAATTTCCTTTTTTTCTTCACAAGACATTGCTGACTGGGCTTGCCAAAAGAATTTATTTCTCTCCATTTGAGGTCGAATCGGTAAAAAAATTAGTTTCGAAGAAAATATTCTTCTTTCCACCAACCCCTTCTCTTTTTACGACAGCAAAATATGAATCGGAAAAATTTTTTGGTATTTCATTCAATCATGAAAGTTAACGCTAATAAACAGCCTCTGTCTGCTCTTGTGCCAGTCCCATCATGTTGCCATTTTGTGATCCTAAAACTTTTTTAGCAAAAATAAATTGATTCATAAAGGAGAAGAGGAAAGGAAGTACAGGGTGATTCATAATTCACGTAAAAAAGTATTTTTCATTGAAAATATAAGTCAATAATTAGAATGAGTGATTCAAAAAATATGTATGGTAGATCGTGTAAAGCTAATCCAATATTATTAAACTTGTAGTGTTTTCAGTATAACACTTTCTTTCAATATCACTTTTAACGAAACAAACAAACACTGGTTCAAATTTGATTATCACATTTTTAAACTCTATTAAACAACACAATCTGTTAAAATTGAAAAAAAGAAATGTTTCTGTCACTTTTCACTCCCGAAGTCTTACATATTACTATACATAAAAATCTAACGATGGTGTCACAGTTTTCCATTGTCCGTGAATTTTATTGGCAGGAAAATCACGTAGTAGGATCTAGTTTTTCTCCATTCATTTCCATATTGTTTTGGTTGTCATCAGCATGAAATGAATAAAAATCAATCATAAAGGTATTGTTTTTCTATAAATATTTTTGCATCCCTAATTTGTAAATTCCCTATTGTGTATTTTGTAAAGTTTGTATTGTTTATTTTATTGTTTATTTTCTTATACTTTTAATTCAAGAGTTTAAAACTAAAAGAATTGTTGTTTCTATTATTATTATTATTATTATAATGTAGTTCTGCTCTGACCTCAAGCTGTTGGGAGTCAACCGATGGCGGGCCGTCGCACCGGACAGGGCCAGATGGAGGAAAATCTGCGAGTCAGCCTTGGCCTGTGAAAGGCTGTTGCGCTTATGAAGAAGAAGAAGAAGAAGTTCTGCTCTACATTTTAAGATAAAATTATTTAGAAAGGTGGCCTAATCTTATTAACTGTTTTTAAATTATTATTTTTGCGCAAATATTATTAATATACTGTTATAACTGACAGTTAAGGAGATCTGCAAAATGATCTAAAACTTAACGATCAGCTTCATGCACAATGAGATGCAAGCAAATATAGTATTTAATATATTCTCAGGTTTGGTAAGAGAAAATATTAAATTATGGTTGTGAACTCATCAAATTTGTTTGAGCTAGATATTGTTATAACAATATAAATGTTATTTTAATAAATGAGTGATGATTAGAAATGAGAAGAATTACTTCTGTTCATCGTTAGATCTAACTATTTATAATGCTAATAGATAATAATATTTGGACGTGGGAAGTGAAGGCACAAGCAAACAGAATTCCTTTTAGAACCTATGTGTTGAGAGAATAATTTTAACTTAAGTAGAAAAACTGTTGTCTGCCAAGAAACAACAATTATTGCGAAGCAATCAATGGGGTTGGTGAGCGGCAGCGAACAGGAGGCTTCTTCACCCTCTAGTATTAAAAAAAGCATTAAATTTAAAAAAAAATTTATTGTTGTTTCAATTTTGATTATAGTTTTTTCGAACTTTATTATCCAGCCACAATCTATCAAAACTACAAAAACGTTGGTTATTACTTTTTATTCCACAGTTCGCAAACCTATATTAGTTATATAAAAATTATAAAGACTTAAGAAATGTTATCATTGATTTAAATTTAGTTACCTAATTTTCAAATTCTATTATCATAAACTCCACACAATCTATTATTAAAAAAGAATTTTTCTTCCATTTTCCACGATTATCTGTTATGATTAAATGTCAATAAAGTAAAACTAAACGAAGTGGGTCTTAAAAATACTAAGATTATTATGAGAGGGTTATTATAAGAGGAAAAATTATATTGGAATGGAATTCAAATGGGAATATTTTTTTAAGTCAGACTTATTAGTATTGAAAGTAAGGAAGTTATTTGTTTAAAGAGGAGGCGAACTAGAAATGGATAATGAATAGAAAACAAGTTTTTAATTATTTGAAACTCCACAAATAGATGGATATGGAATCTTTTAAAAACAATAATAGCGACATTTAATAGTTTTGACAGTTATAAAAGTATTATAAGAGGCATTTTATTTCCCTTGTCATCAAACTCTAGCTTCAAAGGAACAAGGATGGAAGGAGATCTGAATATTCTTTTAATAGACTCTATTTAATTTTCACGTGTAAATTGATAATTGTAATTTCTTTTATCTGGCAATGTCATTTAAAACATATAAAATGTAAGATCTCGCCACCACCATAATCGGTGAAATATAACAGGCGGGAATTTCGAATTTGATGAAGGATTGAATTTCCACCCATGAACTGATGATAGATGACTGATTCAATCTACTCGATGTTAGGTAGCACATTTTTAGGTCATGAAAAATACGAGATCTTCCCAACCAGGTCTTGAAGCCGTTGTAACAATAAAAAAACTTTCTGTAACTTACGGGAAATAAGCAGCTATCTGTTACAAATATAATTATTGTTCGTGCTAAGTAGAAAAGTTTCTGTTGTTGTTGTCGTGGACCATCAAGACAAGAGTGGCGATTGTTCTTGTTTTCCAGTGGTGCCATCTAAGGCCAAGAATTCAACCACACCCATACCTCACAGCCGTTTTAAAGGACGAACCCGTTCATTCATCGACAGATCGTAATTTTGACCTGAACCAGAGAAGATCCATCTCCAATTCAGTACCCCAAAGGTATATTTTGTTATGGGAACATGAAGGACTTTGTGACCCGAACGATTTAACGTGCACCGGTCACCTTTTACAATACTCCCGTTCTCACGAACATGAGTTCAGAGCCCAGCCAACCAGGCCATCTGGTCCCGAAAATTCTGTTAAAACCAAAATTTACAAATATTTTACATTAAATGTGTTCAATTCGTCCTTCTTTTGCATTAAGTACATATTTTTTTTTTTAATTTAAATTTTAAATTAATTATTAAGTTTATTTTCACATCTGCTACTTCTTTATTGATTCTCGTACATATTTATGTCATTCTTCGAATGGTTTTCCCACATCTATCGTTCGTAATGAATGATCTCTTCAGAAACGATCGATCGAGGCTCTACTGTATTAAAATATGAACTTTGTTTTATCCTAATCTTTAATGTATGTTACAATTTAATTATATTTCTCATTACTAGTAACCTGTGAGAAAACCCTGTTTTTGCTCTGCGTTCAATACCCCAATTGAGTGCAGTGGCTCAAATAACAACTACACCCGCGGTGCGATGGCACGATCGAAGCTCGAGGGCGCACGCTCCGTAAAAAATAGCACTTTAAGTTACAATAAAATTAGTTTTTTTTTATAAAAGATATTATTTTTTTAATAAAAAATAGGAAGAGTTAACTCAACTTTGAATATATTTGTTGCAACAGAGTGAGTAATTTTCTCCCATTATTGAGATTAATTTCACTTCAATGTGATAAGTGTATATAACAATGTTCCAATTTAGTACCTTTTCTAAATTCTGTCCTTTCATCGCAATTGCGATTTTTATTATCTTAAATTAAAATAAAATTAAGGATTATAAATACCCGAATGTATCTCTGTATTATGGTGTTTTTGTCTTAAGTTAAAATTTCAATTTTTTTGTGGTAAGTCTTAGATAGGATGCACTAATAAATCTTGCACCCAAAAGTCTGTGTACGTCACTGGCCGAATGTGCAATCAAAGTAACACGTAGTTTCTTGAATGCGTGATGATAAAAATATATCCCCACCCTCCATAAAATCTCATACGCTTCTTCGTATGTTGAACTCAACGGAAGACAAAAAATATGTTCAATGTCAGAACAGTAATTGAAAAGCAATGATTTTATATTCAGTAATGACGCAAAACAAAATCCATTAAAATGGACCCCTTTTTTATTCTTATAATAGAATCTTGTTTTTATTCGCCTCACAATTCTTCTCCACCTAATGAGTCTCTTCGTCTCACGAACCCTTACGCAACATGCACCTGCTGATTAGATTCAAACAATTCTAATTTTTGGATTTCACCCAAATGGCGTGACGTTCCCCAGCATCAAGAGCAAGACGTGACATCAGCACCTTCTTGGCTTTGAACTTAGTATTGGCGAATATTTCGAACTAAAAGCCATGGACAGAGATTTGTTCTTTTAAAAGGAAGAATTAAAACAACTATATTTGTTTTTTTGTTTCTTTTTTTCCAGACGATTTTGTAATTTCAGACGACTTTTCGTAATTCCATACGATTTTCATAACTTCAGACGATTTTCATAACTTCAGACGATTTTTGTAACTTCAGACAATTTTAAAATTTCAGACGATTTTCGTAACTTCAAACATGCACAGAGATGTGAAATCTGTTCTATTAGATGAAGTGAAGTCATACAGGCCATCCAGATTAAGATCTGTTGAGACCAGGGTGACTAGATATGGTGGATTACAGGAGTTAGAAAAGAAGTCCAGTTCTGGTGACTTCTGTGTAACCACAGATGACGCAACACCCAGTAGAAGAAGGTGGTTTGCGCAGGACTATCGACCCGATCTTCAGGTGGCTCTCATCTTGCCAGGTTTATTACTAGGTTAATAAGTTTAGATTTTTCTTTGTCATTATATACCTTGTTGATTCACTAAAATGTAAACCGCGATTTGATTATTGAATGTCATAGTTGTTATGTATGTCAAAGAAAATTGCAAATAAGGTTTTGAAAGAATTGTCGATTATAGGCATGGACCATTAACTAATCCTGTTAAGTTTATAAAAAGCAGTTCCTAATGAGAAAAAAAAATTGCTTGCTAGCTATTTTCAAATATTTAAATACATTAAAAAGCTTAATTTCTCTAATTTGATTAATTTTCAGTTAATTTTTTCCCGCAACTCTTCAATATTTGGTCAAATTTTGACATTTCTTTTTTATACCATCTTTCATTCCCACTAATTTCATTTGAAGTAAGTAGTTCTCCATATGATATTATGAGCATAGACAGAATATATACAAACAGAATGTATACAGGCAAAACCCTTATGATGCCGTGTACGAATTAAGCTGTTATAATTTCAAATTTGATGTTTTGAATAGTTTGAACCATAGTTTCACATCGATTCCGGAAATTTAATATTACACTATTTTTTTCAAGAAATAATAATATTTCATGATGTATCGTGATATTTTTCTAATTTTACTAATTTACATTATTTTTGCATCTGTCAATATTTTCGTTGCTCAAACGAAATTTATTAACACTTACTATAATATTGTATTTGATAATTATCATTATAGATAATACGCATAATATTATCGTATTAAATAATTATAGTATTCGAAAATAATCAATATTGATAGTACTAGTGACATTTGCTTATTTGATGTTTACGTTGTTGATAATGATCGCGATAATATCGTGGTTGATAATTATAATATGTTCGATATTTACAATCAGTCGAAGTTTTCATGGTGTATCATGAGAACACATTCTGAATTATCGTTATCGATATATTTAAAAATATCGGTATTTCATAACATTTATTTTGACAAACTCTAATGTACAGATTTCATTAAGCTTCGGAGGTTTATCAATGCTATCATTGTTTAAACTAAACGATATCTTTCAAATGAATTGTTCATTTTTTATAACTTGCGCGATTTTCAAAAATTATTCTTAGTGCAGAAACTTAATTTTTCTATAGTCTTTATGAGCGAATTTTCAAAGATGAAACATGCATTAAACTGAACGCACTAAAAAATTAGAGATTCAGTTTCCCTTATTTCATAAAGCATAACTTTTATTCTAATACATCTGATCCATAATGAATTTCCGGTCATCCATGTGCAACACTGTCGAGTTTTAATTTCGAATCCAACCCAGAAGACAATAGAACTCATGGATCAAGCTCCGGTATTTTCAAAGGCTGATTTTTAAAAGGAAGTAATGCACATTTCCGTTATTTGAAAAGGAAAATCACGAAAACTTCCTAAAGTTAGCCCGACAAGAGAGGAACCCATACCACCGGGAATGGTAAGAATACCTCTGCTGCCCGTTGGTCCACTCTGATTTTATTTGAATACTGATCGATTTGTCATGACTTTGATGCTCCCAATGAAATTGTAGCATAATAGTTAATAGCATTCCCTGTCTTACATTTGCGTTCTTTTGCTGTCTTCTTATTATTTATTGTTGAGCCATTTAACTTTCGAACGCTATAAGTAATTATTAAAAAAAAAATTAAATGAGATACATACCGTGTTCTTAGTTTGAAAAGAAATAATACAAAATATCTTCAAAGTTAAAGCTTTTATACTTCCAAAAAAAAAAAAACGTAAAAATTATAGGTTTATTTTTTAAAAAAATATGTTTCTAACTTTGAACTCTTTAGGTTTAATAAATTGTGTTTTTTCTATGATGAAAAATAAAAGGCTAAACATTCCAGAATTAAAATTTGATAATGCAACAAAATAAAAGATGACTTTTCTATGATATTTTTTAAACAAAAGAAAAGAAAAAAGTAAACTATCAAAAATTTCTTTTCAAAAAAATATACATAAACAGCTTTAAAAATGAAACTACTTAATTCAATACAATTATTAAATATATTATATTACACTTCGTATTTTGGGTCAGTATAAATTTTGGAAACTTGGATCTTGGAGTCAAACTGTTCCTTCTAGATCATCCGTAATATTTAACAGTTTTTGAAAAACAGATGTTTAAAATTTTAAAAAATATCATAGTAATTTACAAACAAATATAAAATCCGAAGGTTTCTTTCGTTTAACCTGAGAAATTATACATACTTTCCCTGTTGAAAAGCTTTTTTTCATAACAAGGTTATCTTATTCATGCTACTGAAACGGAGCTTGGCAACTTAGCACTTGAAATGAATTTTTTCTTCTGCTTCTTTTTATACTTGGAGTAGATTTGATGAATTGGCTTCTAACTTTAAAGAGTTCATTCGGTTCTGATTGCTTATGAACTAAATAGGTGGATGTATCATCGCGTGGCGAAAAAATTAACAGATTAGAAAAATTTCAACAAACTAGAACTTTTAATGAATCATTTTAAATAATGCTCGTTTTCTTTCAATTTCTATGAGTTGAAGATGTTTATGAATAAAGGTTCTTAGTTACAAAAAAAAAATGAGATTTCTCGGAGAGAGACCTTATTTTAGTCTTCTTGTTTAAAGAAACTAAATAGATTTCGGAATAATAGATTTCACTGAATAAAGGTTACAAACTGACAATCTCTTAGAGTTTTTGGCGAGATAAAATATTTAAAATGCAAATGACAGAACCCCTTTTTCGGCAGCTAATGAAAGCGACAAAAGAGCAAATGCCATAACACGAACAGTTTATATGAATGTTAATAAGGTGTTCTATTGATGCAGATGTTCTGCTGTTCTACTTATGCAACAACTTTGTAGGAAATTAAATGTTTTAAAAAATCGATTTAAGCAGAAATTAATTTAAAATTTTAAAAAATTAAAAATTTACTTAAAAAAAGATATAAATAAAAGAATTTATACCTTTTTTTTATAAAAGAACTTATATCTAGAAGATTTATTTCTAAAATAAACAAAGCTAGATAAAAAGAAACTAAAAATATTGTGGTTATTCATCAAATATTTAAAAAAATGCATTAGAATCAGCGAGTCATTTATAAATTTAGGAGGGTATTTTCTTCTTTATTTTCAAATATTTTATGCGTATAAATAGAGTGTTCTGTAATAATCACCTCTAATATAAGTTTTTAAAATCCGTTTTAGCACATTTAGGGTAACAAATAAATATTTAAGCGAGGAAACAATAAAAACGCTATTAAAATCTGTCAACTCACTAGTGAGAACAGATGGATCGAAGAAAGCAGAACCAGTTTGATTGCCTGTTGAAACGTGGAGATGTTTCTACTAATCGCCATTTTCGAGGATGTTTCTAATAAGGCTTAGTTTTGCCAGAGATTGAAAATGTTTTGATGTTTCAGCTTCCAACAATAATCCCTTGTTAAATTTTAATAGCTGTTTTTATCTTAAAATGAAAATGATTTAAAAAAGAGAGTTGAGAGTATTAACTTGGTAATTTAAAACCTGCTGATTAAAGAAATGGAAAATCGGTTGAGATAAAAGCAAGCTATGAAGTTTTGGAAATGTGTAAAATTTCCAATAGGTTTTTGATTTAAGTTACAATTTCCACAAAGCAAAATTTAAAAAGAGAAAGAAAAAAAACTCTTGAAATGTTTTATACTGCAATAGTTCATTTAAGAACACACCCAAATTGAAGCTGAATTAAGTTTGGCAGGTACTCCTATTTAATTCCCTCTTCTCTTCTATGGTTAAAAAAACTATAGAGAAGATAGCAACAAAACCCCTATTAAATGCATTTATTATTTAAAAAGTTTAATTTATTTTCTTAAACATTTTTCAAAATGTTTCGAGATATCAGTGTATTGTTGAGAAAGCAGCAAACCTCCATGTGCCACCAAAGTCTCTCGAATAGTTCTTGAGAAATGAAAATTTTTAAAATACGTATTTTTTCTGACGTTCTATAACTCGAAAATTTAACCAATTTTTAATTTTGAATTATGTCTTTTGAAATTTCAAAATTTATGCTCCTTTTAATTCAACAGTTTATTACAAATATTAAATAACATAATTAAATAAAATAATTAATAATTAAATAAAATAATAAATAATTAAATAAATAATTAAATTAAATAATTAAATGAATCATTCAATAAAATAATTACATAAATAATTAAATTAAATAAATCTTTAAATAAAATAATTAAATAAAATAAATAAAATATTTAATAAATAATTTTAAACATCTGTCTTTTTTTGAAATTCAATTTCTCAGGGACTATTCAACCGATTTTGCTCAAATTTTGTATTTTACCACGTAAAATTATAATCTTTAAACTCATGCAAAAGCTTTTATACCTTACAATTCAAAATTTTTCGACCATTATTAAATAAAATAGTGAAAAATAAAAAAAATATTTATTAAAAGTTATTTTTTGTATGGAATTATCTTTGAACAAACGTATTTTGTAATTGTGTGCAAAAATTTTTCAATTCGCTTAAAATATTCTCGAGATATAGGGAAATACTCAGAAAGTAAAATTAACATTAAAGAGTCTAAACCTTAGACCGCTCTCTGGACTAAACTATTGGACGCCAATTTACCAGGTTGCGACTTCTCCCAATAGTTAGGGGATCCATTGAAAAAAAAAGAAGATAGATTTACTCAGAGAAAGTACATTTTTGTGTCTGATATCGTAACTTAAAATATCGTTTGTACTCATTAATTAGCATATTAGGGGTCACCCTCTCGAACCATTATGAATGAGTCCTAGAACGTGAAGATCCGATCATTAGATCAAAAGTTATTCTTGGTGGCTGTTTTTTATTTTGCGCACTGTACGTATTTATTTTATTACTTTTAGCGTACTTTTGCCATGAAGGAATGGTTTTGTGGTAAAATGCATGAACAGGCTCTATGATGACCTCGCAAGAGAGTTAGGTCATTTCTCAAAATACAGGATTGCAGCCATAATTCTAAATGTCTTACAGCAATTGTTTTTATCGAGA